ACTGTATTACGGAATATGGAGCCAAATGAGGAAGCTATTAGTAACTGGAAGCAATCGAGAAGGAACAAACTTCATAAGCACAGTTTACAACGAAGTCCTGGCAGTAGTAAAGGTAAGGAGAATACTATATAAAGTAATTCATTATTACCAATATTAACATTTAGCAATATATTTAACAATTAAGCAATATATTTTAAGCTGGAAATATTTCAGGGCATAAGCATTTAGACGAAAAATTGAACAGGAAGTATATGACGAACAAAGATAGACAGTTACAAATTCGGACGTTAGTCTCTTCTCATCATAATTCCAAATCATTTGATCTAGCAAGTTGGCAAGTCAACTAGGAAGAGCTATGATCATAGTATAATCCTGTCGAGAAAAATGATTGTAAACAATAAGTCTCTCCACCACCTTTTTTTTCATCTTCACTTTTTTGTTTGTTCCCTATCAGACATTACTATCACTTTTTAAAAAATATTTCAACAATTCTTGCTTTGCTTTCCTAATGCCCTAAAACTGGCAGGTAGATTGTGACCATCAGCATGAGCCGAAAGAGTTGAATTAAAAATGACTTTTCTTAGGTGACGAAAAAAGCTCGTCAATAAATGTAGCATTAAAACTATGGAGTAACGTGGAAATATTGGAATTGTAGGAAGACAAAACGGAGCCGAGGAAATCCGGAAGATGACACACTATATGAAGTGCCTCTTAAAATGCCGGAATTCGACTTTGTACCATCTCAGTCAGAAGATAATGTGGCGTAATGATATTTTGGTGTAATAGCAGTATTTCTGCATACATGGACTTTTGACAAATTTCATACATCATCTATTGTAAATTTGATAAAACGTTGCTGTGATACCGTGCATAACTCTGACGAAACAAAAGTGAAAGCAATATGTGCAGATATCACGATGGTAACTTTTCATGTTTTCAGTTTTTTTCTCCATCTCAGCCTTTTAAATATATTTTATAGCAGAGATGTGGATGAGATGATAGATAACATAATTTAACATTTGCATTATATAGTGAGAATTGCACCATTGAAATAAATAATTGTAAATACTTCTATGTCACGAAAAATCCTGTTCTTATAACACTTGCGTTATTCTGGTAAATGTAACAATTTTTGCGCGAGTGCTCGTCTGTGACGTTCGTCACTCACTAAGAATAACGTTTCTCCAAGTATGCTTATATGAGGCGATAATTTTGCTACCTGCAAAGAATAGGTAAATGCAGAAATTGATTTTTTACTCTTTATTTTTAGAGTTTTTTTACTTATTAGTTCTTAAAGCTGATAATAGAAATGTAAGTAATGGAGTAAAAACTAAAAACTAATAATGGACTTATTAGTTTTGTAAATTCAATCGGCAAAATTCAACCGCATAAAAAATAATAGAAAGTGTTCTTACTAGATCCATCAGTTCTACAGAATTTTGTGGCCACTCTGCGCTTGATGGAAGAAGCGTCGTTAGGATTCGCCATGGTAAGTCCACTTGTACTTGTTGCGCGCCGAAATGACGCAAAAGAGCACAGGAATAATCCACCAGGTGATACTTGGTGTAAATTATTGTAGGTGCAACGGGTTCCCATGTCTCCACATATATCCTTGGGTACGACTGCAATATTCACCTGATAGCATTTTAAGATTCATAACGTCGTATTCTTTTTTGTAAAAGAAACTTCTGATTTCAATGCTTTTTTTTTAGTTTTTTTTTTTTTTTTTTTTTTTTTTAAATCTCCCGCTAGAAGAGACATTTTCTAGTATACTGTCATCCTTTCATTAAACGAAAAAGGAAAAGGAGGTATTAACGAGAAAGCATCAGTCACGTCTTTCGATTCCTTTCATTTACTAGTTTTCAAGCAAACAAAAATCAAAACAAGTAGCTTTAAATTGAAGTCATACCTCGACTGTAACTTTGCTTAGCACAGCACTTTGACTTTGGTGGCCCAAACTAAGGTATCTTCCGGTCAAACGAACCTGAAATGGAGGTTCTGAATTCCTAGAAATTTAGTCTAGCAGAAAAGAGTGTAAACCTGTGGAGCACACATGCGGAATAAGCCAACAGGCCATTGTTTTAGCATAGCTTCGATAAGCGCTGATCCGCGAGTCATAACCTGTGTGATGCACGGATCATCAATACAGATACCCGGGTTATCCTTTCCCGCATTTTCCAGCAGTCTCATTAAATCACTAAAATTATATATGAAATTAATCCGAGGATGTAATTGAAGCACACTTGGAATCAAATTAAAAATTAAATTGATTTATTGACCATGGTATTATCCCGCTTTGATACTTTCCCGCTATGTTAGTATATTTCATTTTATTTTAAACTATATTTTACCATATTATATTCTTTTCAGCCTCTCCTATTCTCGACAGAATCCGATTATAATGCAATGGGATGAGTTTTAATTATAACCTTTTATTAATAAATTAAAAGTGACATTATGGATTCTTTTACAATCCTGAACTATTCCTCTTCGTCGATATGAAAGCATGCTATCATCTTAATGCCTTTCTGTTAATATGGTCGAATAATACATTTATTGTTTTACCCTTAAGTTTAGGTGATAGCGTTTGGCATGACATACTTTTTGAATAATTCAACTTGGGCAAATTCGGTAGCATCCCATATGTTTTTGTTGATATTAGAAACAATATTTGTATCTGATAGATATTCCACTTTGGGTTCTAATTCCAATTTGGTAGGCTGCTTATCTAATTCAAAGGCCTGAATCAAACAGAAAAAAGAACTATTTTTATGTGTACTTTAAACATGCTATTCCTAGCATAATAAGCTTTACCTTACAGTTAAGGTAATCCTCATAACGAACGGACAAGAATCGATTTCGAAAACGGTAGCCGTCAAAGGCCCGAAGAACTTGCAGTGCGTCTTCGTAGCGATAGAAACGGACACGCCTTAAAAAAGCTGTCATTTTCTCTTGAAAATTTAGTTTTAGAATAAGTGTACATCAGATGAAAGAAACTTCTAACTTTTTGAATATTGAGTCAAACTTTTGCATATTTTCCTAATACATACGAACATTAGAGGTTTGCAAGATCAAGATTTAACGGAAATTAGAACAAAGAGAACCAACCAACGCCGATTGCTGATCGCAATATCGAATATAGCAATATTTTTTCCGCATTCGCTTTCGATAAGGGATCGAATAATCTAAATCTAGTGAGGGTAAGAACTAAAAGAGAAAGAAAAGTACTTGTTTTGTCTCTTGTTTCAACTTTCTGGCTTTAGCACTAACAAATTGGTAGTTACTTCTAAAAGGGATAGTTCTAAGTTTATTTTAAAATTAGAATTACCTGCTGGGAAGCAGGGCCGATCCGTGGTACATTTAAAAATATAAGTTGAGCGCGAATGAGTTTTTCGCTTGTTAGCATCTCTGATACAGTTGGCGCATTCTAGAAGGAACAGAGTAAGAATCTAGGAGGAATTAGGACAGTTTTTGAAGTAACATTATCGTCATTACTGAACTTGCTTATTGAGAGAAACTCGAAACTTAGAAGTACATGGAAGCGATCGTTTATTTGCGATCTCAGTACTGGATCATCGTATACTCGGCCCCAGAAATCCCATCCTGATTCACTACTATCAATATCGCTGCTTGTTCTTTTATCCGCTGAGCAATCATCAAATTTCGACAATATCTGCTAAGGTTGAAAAAAGTTCAAATTTTTTAAAAAAGTTCAACTCAAGTCAGTTTATTCACTCCTATTACTTATAAAGCAAAGGTTGTAATCGACAATTCCATAGACTTTGCAAATTTTATCACTTATATTGCTGGTTATTGATGAAAGTAATAATTGCTTTCTACAAGGGTATAAGTTCATTTTAGTGAATAATATTCGCTTATTTGATAAGGAGCCTTTTGTTTGAAAGTTCTTTTCTCGTATGATCAAAAACATTCGGAAGTTTATCCTAACCTTGTTCATGTTGAGCATATTTTTAACAGTAACCGAGAATGGCCTCCCATTGCCACTGCTAGCGCTACAAGCGCCGCGAAATCTCAATCTAATAGGAGCGGAAAATAGTGCATTCGTGAATAGTTCGTTACCAATACTACTACTCATTAATTGCAAATTGAATAGACCATGTGATCTGAGATATCTCATTAGTTCAACTTCACCTTTTCAAAAAACTTCATTTATTTACTCTAAGAATTTCTCAGACCTTGTCCAAATTTCTATCTCGAATCTAAAGTGGGAACAAAGTTTATCTGAGCGTGGAGATTAGTCTAAAAAAAAACTCAATTCCAGTGATTAGTTCTTTCCACGGTTTTTGAACAAATTTTTGCAGAACAATGTATCTAAGAAGAAATGAAACAAATAGGTTGAAAACTTCTACAAGTATCAATAAATGAACCTGTCGAATTAACAGAACGTGAATAATAGCACTGTTAAAAATAACAGTCGGATAAATATGTGCCTGCAATGAGAAGATGCTGAGCCCAGGTATAGGGTTGACAGTTATAAGTTTGCAAATGCTTCCTTATATAATGAAAACTGCACGCGTGACCGCACGATAAAATGAAAACTAACAGCAATGAGAGCTTGCTAAGTTCTGAAAACTTTTGTACGTTGGTACTATTCAACCTTACTCCGAAATTTCTTTAATCTTTTCAGTTTACACGATGTGATGACCTCACTTTTCGTCCCTTTAGTTGCAATAAGCAGACTAAATGAAAACCACGTATAATGGGTGGTTGAATTTGAAGAATGGCTTATAAAGAAACTTTGATTTTATCCTTCGTACACATGATTTTAAAAATGAATTTATCGCAACTTCAAAAATTTAAGTAAAAAATTGACAACACCATTTAAACGCAATCTACAAGAGTTGAAATAGCTACAGTAAATGAATCACACATTCCGAATCTCTCTTTAGCATCATTTGTTCATATCCTAAACATCAGCTCATCTGAGAACATACAACTAGGTTTTCAAAGAAAGTTTCATGTCCCGTTCGACATTCTTTTTATCTCTCTTCGGCCAAAAGAGGCTCAACGAACACATTATAATTAACGATATGACAACCATCCCAATATACTGTTCCACAAACACCACAGACATAAAAAAACCTAAAATAATATAAAACTTTCAAATGACTCTGAATTACGCTCCAAAATTTAAAATTCTGAAAAAGATGTCAGTACACAAATTCAAAGCCGAGTTCCTAAATCAGCAAAATCTCAAATAACATGAAATTTTATATACTGATTTAAAAATCAACTAGTACGCAGTACACAAATCAGGAAAAAGTGTCAACCTGCTTTTTTTCTGCAAAGCTTGCAAAGGTACTTTCTCTATTTTAACTTCAACTGGCATATCACAACCGAGAGCAGCAACTAGACGATTCCTGAAAACATATTAAACAAAACAAACATAGTTATGAAAATGCATTTAATGAATGTACTTACTCGATATCTAAGACACCATTATGACAATGTGCAACTATCCATGAATGATCACTTTCACTGACTTCGAGATTACATTCGTATCCAGAATATATTTTCGCGTCAGCCTGAAAGTGCAAGATAGCAAAGGACAATGACTAACTCTTAAACTGCTTTCGAGCGCATGTCACGCAAGTAAAAATTCAAAAAATCATGTCTCAAATGCACTATCAGAGTATCAAGTGTAAGCACTTCTCGCATTTTTCCACTGTATTTTGCAGCATCGCAAACTTCGCCGCTAAATGGATTTGAAGCGACAACATTTGCCTGATACATTGCTTCTAGCACGGGAGATGGAGCGACCACGAAGGAATTCGAATTACATTTCTAAAAAAAAAAAAAAAAACGAATTTGATAAGCAAATAATTGTGAAAACGATATTCATAGATTGAAATTCCATACAACAATACCAAAAAATTAAAAAAAACGTGAGACTCATCTTAAATCTGTTTAATAATAATAGATTTAAATATAAGGATTCAAAATACTAAAAGTTCCTACCTCTTCAAACATAAATTTGTGCTATAGCACTTCACAAAATGCATTACAAAAACTCGAAACCAGTATATTTGAATGTCTTTCTTACTGAATTTGTTAAAAACAGATAACTTACCATGCAGCGTGAAAAAATATCATCTTTGGATAAGTACATATTGAACTGTCTTAAGATGAATTCGATCTGCTTAATTATGCTTACATTTTGTGCGGTTGGAATAGACAATACACGATGTGTTCCTCTCAACAACCGATGTCTTCGAAGCTAAACTCATAAATATATATTACTTTTGAGGGCGAAAAGAAGATACTTTAAAGAAATAAAAACTTCATTCCAAAAAAAAAAACTATTTATATTCCATGACTTAGCATTTTCCCCTCCTATTATCTGAAAGATGATTATTATTTCATGTTTGTATATCAACAAATATGTGATTTCGTTTTTTCATTTTCTTCTAACCGAAGAAAATTTCTAATCTCCATTTGGAAAATGAATTGGAATATGAGGAACTTTTTTTTTGAATTGAATTTATATTACTGTTTATAGAACTCATAGCTAAGATAGCACTCAATATAGCGTTCAATCTGCAATAAAAAAAAAGTGTACTTCATCTACCGCCTTTCCACACGTTATTATATACCGACTTGGGTCTCTTTCTGCGCATTCAATCAAGTAATTCCGTGTTTCTGCTAATAACGTGTCAATGCCGCATCTAGAATGCAAGTGTTCAATCGATTTAATGTTGAGACAATCGACTTAATTTCAATCAAATAAATACAAGCAGTACGTACTACCTTCTGAGATGCTTGCCCAAACCAAGTATCATTGAATCGACAATAACCTTCAAATCTTTTGGTTTCCTTTTCACTTGTGCATTACTTAGGTCAGAATTTACACGCTGAAAGCGAGACTAAACAGGAAACAGTTTCGATATCCGATAAAACAATAATGCTGTGTATAACAAATTTTACAGATATCATAATGGCTAGATTAAATAAAAACCTTCAAAATACAGCAGCCTTTTTATTTAAAAAAAAAAAAAAAAAAAAAAAAAACAATTAGTAGTAAGAAATTTAGACGGAAAAGCAGTCAAGAGGAAACTTCAATCATTTGTTCAAATTCTTTTTCATCAAATTTGGTTCCTTTCTTTTTAGTCCTCTTCTCGGTTTTATTCTCTTTGGACTTTATTTGAGCAATATCACATTCCTTCCAGTGCTTAGTCCAATCCATATTGTAATCTCTACAATTCTGTTAGTCCAAAACAGTACTTGATTCACAAATCGTGAAAGAAACCCGAAAAAAAAAAGAAGTACCTTTCAGCTCTTATCTTTAACTTATTATAAAGATTCAATAAACAGTAACCATCCATAGCTGCATACTTCATCTGCTCACGGCGAAGAGGGCGCATAGCCCAATTACCTATCTAAACAATTTTTTGACATCTATGGACTTGAGAAAGATGATACGAATATTCCGCTTGCTTTTACTATTTTAAAAAATAAGGATACCTGCTCTGTTTTATCCAGAGCCTGACCAAGTACTTTCCGACATAAATCAGTTAGTCGAAAATGCACTGTTTCATCAGAAACAATATCCAACAAATTTTCAGTTTCGCTTGATAATGGAAGGTTAACTGAAAAAAAAACTGCGAAATTTTATTTCTGATATAAAAAATATTTATATATTGCTTTGCAAAATCTACACAGCCAAATCTATAGAGGACTATTTCGATCGACAAAATCTGAAAATACAAATCAACAGTAATAAGTGTCATACTTGAATCGCTAAAGTCGAGAAATGCTGGATTCGAAGCCAGAAGCTGAAATTACCATTAATAATAATTCGAAACAAAATTAAAAAAGTTATGAATATGAGACATGTATGTTGAAAAGAGAAACATACGCTTTTCACCAGTTTCAATATACAAACCACATTCTTCATCTCTTCCAAGGGTTGTAAATAAGGGTAAGAAGCACGCAAAACCTTCAGATCATTTAGAAAATCGAACCCTGAAACTGCATGCTAAGGTATTACGAAGAATTCACTGAGTTACATGTTTCTTCTCCGAATGTGAAAGACCCCTGGAGACATAATCAATAAGTCTCATAGAAAAAAAAAGTTATACAATTCTTCACTGACCTAATTTTATTGCAGTGCTGTCACAAAATAAAGCTTTGAAGAATCGTGTCCATTGTTCTTCTGTTAACACATTTTCTAAAGTGATAACATCGACAAGGTAACTGCAGTGTTGAACACAAATTTGGAAAAGTGCAACCTGAAACACTTTCTGACTATATTAAGTTTGGCTTAAATAAACTATAGATTTTTTGCTGATAAATGATGCATACTTCACTTGATCACTAACTTGCAGAAGTGACAGCCCTACCGAAACTTTATGGGCAATTTCCAAAAACGTTTTCAGCTGTAATATATACAACTGATATTAGAATATTGAATGATGAAAATCTAACAAAGAACCACATTAAAAAGTGGTTACCCTTTCATTTGTACAAATAAACAAGGGTTTCCATTCAGTATCTATTCCAATTAAGTCGGCTTCTTCAATAACGGGATATAGCTCCTCCAGATCTTCAAGATTTGCAATCACTTTGATAGGATGACCTGGAAACAGTTCCACGTTTGTAATACTCGCCCTCTCTGACACCATCCTGTAAAAGAATAGTTCGGGAGCAGTTTCAAACAGTTAAAAATAAAACTGGTTTTCACAGGTAAATGATAAAAATATACCAATCATTTATAGGCATACATCTCTCATATTAAAGACAATTATAGTATGCCTTCTAAAAAATTTGATATATATTAATGAAAGGCCAATTCTAAAAGTTTGTGCCTCGCCAAATCAGCTTGCGCTTTAAGAACTGCATTAGTGCACAAATAAGGCTGCAGAATGCGAGGAGCACAACTGATCATGTCGCAAAAAACAACCCATCGAATAGCATCATTGATCCAGCCGTTTGAGCAAAGATAATTGATGAAATATTTCTGCAGGCTCAAATCCGATTGTAAAGCTTGCTGGAAAATAGGTATTCATTTTAAAATTTCATTCAAATGACTGAACATTACGGCATCAATTTTTTGAAAAAACCAGTTCAAATCATAATCATTTAGCTCAACCCATTGCTATAAAGAATCATGATTTCTTCAGATGATAAAGAGGCAAACTACGTTATTTTTGCTACCCACAATTAACGACAGCTACATCATCAAACTGAAAATTTAGACGGATAAATACAGATACTTACAGCTACATAATCAAAATATCCTTCTTCGGTAATACGACGTTCAACGAAATACATAAAAGCCATGTGTCTGAGAGCACCTTCTCGTCTAAGGCGAGATAAATTTGGTGCTACTTCCTCAGGTGGTAAATTGTATGTTGCTAGCAGTTTGGTGACTAACTTTTCAATTGCCTTCTTTTGCAACCTTGATATTGAAATGGTCATAATTTTTCTTCTGCGAAAATCCTCATAACGATGAGCAATTGCTAAATTAAAATATGAAAATTTTAGAATCCCAAAAAAATAAAACCCAACATGAATTCTATAAAATTCAAAATCACTGAACTTCCCTTCCAACTGCAACCAGAATAAAGTAATATTTTTTGACTGAATTGAAAGCTCCTAACATAACTGAACAAGACTGAACAATAAAGGTTAATTATATGTATATTTATAGAACAATATATCACTTGCAGTTTTATGCTACTATAAGGAAACATCAGACATTAATCACTCCAAGCTAATTTGAAAAAAAAAAAAAAAAAAGTAACATAAATTAATGACAAAACAGGAACTAACTTCGTTCATCGAGGCCAATAAGGTTATCAAAATGTCGTACAAGTTCTACCTGCATTTTTCTTTCATTTTTGATAAATGCGTCGACTGCAATAAAACGATCTTGCAGCATGCATGGAATAACTAACTCATTAAGTGTAAAGTGAGACTGCAATCTAAATAATGTTGCACAAGAGATAGCGTCACGATAATTTGCCACCACCACCATGTCCTGAACATTTTTATTTCAGTGAATATGAAGCATGAAAGAAAACAAGTATTTCTCAACCAGAAATTATGCAAATACATGGCAATATGAAATTAGACATAAACAGAAATGGTACAGAACACGCTGAGCTCGAAGGCAAAAATGGCAATATTTTTGCACTTAATTTAAACGAGAAAAACTTCATAACAGCAACACTAATAGCATAGACTTTATCAAAAACAACAGTTCCACTATATAAAAGCGACTTTCGATATCTAAGAAAAATTACTTAGTGTTTATTGCAAAAAACTGACTTTCACCGCTTGAAGGATATAGTCCATCATATCATCAGTTTTCAATTGAAATATACTGGTGATAAGTTCCAGATGTATTGTATGTTTGCTTGTGCCGACAGCAAAAGCTTCAATCTGTTACATTTACTGGGATGAAAGTTTATTGTTCTGAATGATATAGGATTTAGAACTGATTTTCTTTACTCTATTTTTCTGTTTTATTTTCACTCTATGAATGAGTACCAACAAGTAATTCAATAACCAACTTATTCAACTGTACTGATCTAATGATGAAACGTTTTGGAATAACTTTAATAGATTAAAAAGAAAAGAAGCTTTGTATACTACAACATTAGCACATTAAATAAAACTAAATGAAATCGACTTTATAGCTGATTTTATAGCCTAAGGTTAAAAAAAAAAAAAAAAAAACTAAAAAAACCTTCAGATTCCGATCTAGCTTTCCATACAGTTCATCATTTCGTTTCGTTTTTTGTAGCCACTGTTCGAAATGGCGCAAAACAAAACCAGCTAGACTTGATGCCTTCTGCATCCCATAATCTGGACACAACTGAAATATGCCAGATCTGACCAGAAACTGTGAATTTCTCTGTTTAATTTTATATTCCAAAACGTTTCTCTAACTTAAAGTTTAATGCTATACATATTTTATTTTATACAGTTGAATAAACTTTATGCAAAACAAGAGCAGTTTTCATCGGATTTTCGCATTCATCGAATATTTGGTTCAGCGCTGACTGACATAATTCCTCCTAAAATAAAAGGATGTAGAGGTATTTGAAATGAAGTCAATATTTGATATATGAAAGTTATAGATGTAAACGAGGTCATAAAATTTCAGTAGTTTCAATATAATCCATTTAAAATCTTCAGTTTATTTCAAGGAAATAAAATAAACAACCTTAACAGCTTTCTTCTCACCAATCCAAATGTCTTTCAGCAACTTAACCCACATTCGTACCAATTCCTGATTTGTTTGAGACTGCAATTCTTCGTCCAACTTTTTTCGGTGATCATCTTCAATCTCCCCATTAACTAACTGTTTGTTCATGACAGCATCCCCAGCCCTTATTCTTGAACAATTATCTTCGGCCATAACCTGTAACAACCTGCTTCCGTTTTAAACAGAATATTCTGAACAGTGATACTCGTCGCACACTTCAGTAAGCCAATATAATTAACACTCTCCCAGACATCTTAAGCAAATTTCCAACTTTCTGATAGCACATCAATTAGTAGTAGTTGTTCTATATTCTTATAATGCAACCGTTCCACCTCCATATTGTATTTCCTTACGTCGAACTCATATCCCAACGTCATTCACACTCATGTTCAGCGACAATATCAAAATTTAAAAAACTATTGTGCTGCATCAACGAAACAGAGTTCCGAGATTGAAAAGGTAATCTTGGCAACAAGTCAATAATCGATCGTAAACTTTGAAGGTTCTTTTAGCGATGTGGCAGTGTTGGTTCGTTTGTGATCATTCGTGAGACTTTACGTGGCTGGTATCTGGCTATCGTCAACACTATGCGAGACACCTATATCTGCTAACTTTCGCTCAAATTTCACACGTTGGTTTACGCAGTGTAGTTAACATAAGAATTACGGACACTCACGTTCATCTGCGTCAACGTGTGTTCCTTGCAGCCGTGGCGTAGCGGGATGTTCCCATGTAACGAGTATGAACGGAAATTTTTGGCTCAGCATAATCCAGGGACTTCACCTCAAAAAGCACAGGTGACTTAAACAAATGTTTTCTGTCCTGTTTATTTTGCAGTTGCTTGCAGGGAAATTTTCCATGTAAGATAGTAATTTGCGAAATTAGCATGTTGTATGCATAAGTTACAAATGAATTATTGTTTTCTGTAGGTTTTAACTTTACGTGAGGCCTGTGAAACATGCCAAACGGTGGTTCACACGATTCTGTTTGTAACAGTAACTACTCAAACATACGAAGATTGCTTTTTTTTCACAAGGTTGAAATGAAGAGACCCTGACTTTTGAAATTGCGGACGAGATTTTGAAGATCATTTTAGGGACATTCGCCGCGTATCACACCAACGAAATACCGCCCGGATGGTGGTGATCGTTATATACCCATTCGACAAAGTAGTGCAGAGTGGGCGACAAGGTGATTTTTATTTTTGAGTGAGGTTTTTGCTGAAGTGGCGTGATCAATAATCGTATGTCCAAGCAGAAGTGACGTGTATTGCATATTCCTTTTTTCATTTACTCATGCAGTAATGATTATATCGAGAAGTAATGATTGGCGTCCAATCATCGTTCCATAAGCACATTAGTTTATGGAGCATTTTTGGAATACTGTGATGTTGAACTTATATGAACTGTGGTCAAGATTGTGCATTTTTTGTAGTTTTATAATCTTCAGAGGAAAGAAAATACATTTTGTTTAAATTGGAGGTTCCTTTTAGATTTGCTGCAATTGCATCATCATCTCCGGATACGCCTAATCTTTTCAAAAGGCCTACAGGAATGCAAGGAGCATCGACTGGTGCATCCAGCAGCGGAAATGTGGCAAATGCACAAGCGGCTCCGTCCGCAACTGCTATTGATGACTCTCGTATGGATTCTGCAGCACATCGAGCTCTACTAAGAAACGAACTGCTATGCGATAATATTGACGATATTAGGGTTCGTCTGTTTCGTGTTTTTGTTCGCTTAGAAAATACGGGTTGCAGTAACAATTTGATATATTTAGATGTGGGGAAAAATTTTTTTGCTTAATTTTCTTTCAGGCAGACCTAGAAGGGTTCGATACAGGTCGGTTGCGCGATAGTCCTAGCGGTGGTCTTTTCAAGTTCGGACAACGGACGCCGACAAAATATGGTGATGCATCAACAAGTCATGCTGCGCGTTGTCTATTCGGAGGGCCACCATTGAGCGAAGGGAGTCAGCGTCTTCTCAAGTCGCCTCGTAAACCACAGCGTAAAGTACCTAAAAATCCATACAAGGTAGGTTAGAATTTAATATATTTATGTTTTCGTTAAGTATGCAATAAAAGTCACAGTGAATTATTTGGATTTTGACTTCAGTTCTTAGCAGTTTTCAGTCCTTACTATTTTTCCAGGTTTTGGATGCTCCTGAATTGCAAGATGACTTTTATCTTGATTTGGTGGATTGGTCATCGCAGAATATGCTTTCGGTTGGATTACATACTTGTGTATATCTCTGGAGTGCGTGCAACAGTCAAGTTCGTATTTTGGCTGCGATTTTTTTGGTGTTGTGAATACACTATCAAGTTGTGGGTTGGTGTGGAAAACAAAGCATACTGGTCTCTATCAAAATTGATGAAACGTTCATTATAATTCCTTCTAAGGTTGTAAAACTTTGCGATCTTGCAACTGATGGTGACAGCGTAACATCTGTTCAGTGGGCTGATAAAGGCGACTTATTGGCTGTTGGTACAAATAAAGGCATCACGCAGATATGGGATGTTCATGCTCAGAAGAGGGTTTGTTGTATGCTTTTTTTGTTGAGCAAGTGTCTATGGTTCACAGAATAATTTTTTTTTTTTCTAGAATGATGTATTTTAGCTTCGGGAGCTCACAGGCCATTCATCAAGAATCGGCTGCTTAGCATGGAATACGGATCTGGTATGTTCGGGCTCTAGAGATCGCGTTATTATACAAAGAGACATTCGTCAACCAGCACAGTATGCTGAACGAAGACTTAATGCTCATCGTCAAGAAGTAATGATATATTTTCATCTTTTTTTCGACATTTTAGATCATTTATTGTTCTATTCCTAAAATCTCTTGTTGCTATTTTAAATTTTAGGTTTGTGGGTTGAAGTGGTCTCCAGATAGACAATATTTGGCATCAGGTGGCAATGATAATCAGGTTCTGGTGTGGAGTTTGAGAAGAAATGATCCTTGCCAGGTTGGCTTAGTTTGATTTTTTTTTTTTTGAACTTCGACATCTTTTTAAATTTGGATTTTATTTGGCTAGGTGATAAAGTAATATCACATGTTGTAGAAGAAACATGTAATGGAAACAGTCGCATGCTGCACTATATGGAATATTTTGTTACTTTTTTTAGGTGTATACGGAGCATAATGCAGCAGTGAAAGCATTGGCGTGGTCTCCTCATCATCATGGTCTTCTCGTTTCTGGTGGTGGAACAGCCGATCGATGTCTTCGTTTCTGGAACACATTGACGGGACAATCCTTGCACTGTATTGATACTGGCAGTCAGGTATGCATTTTACATCCGTTTTTGCCCGTGTAAGGTTTCTTTAATTTATGGAAGCTCTTGAGAATGGTTCCATTTCTTCCATTATGGATTGGCGAATTACAATTTCTTTTAATTTTGTTTATAAAATTTGGTCTTCATCTAGATTGGTTTTCTGAAAATTATAGAAAACATAACCATAAAATTCGAGAATTTGTATGTCTTTACTAGGGAATCTGTCTTGGTTATAGTTTGAAGTTAGTATAGACGAATGTGTTAAAAAAAAAAAGTTTGTTATAACATCCAGTATAAGCTAACAACCACGGTACACTCTATAGCAATGATACACTGATAATTTCGTAGTTCATCTAACAACATGAAATGAAGAGCAAGGAAAATGAGGAGATAATTTAACTAAAAGATTTAAGTAGGTGGAATTAATTGAGCGTGAAAGAGTAGCCGAATTGGAACTTTTCGATATTTTTGATATTAACACAGATCAAGGGTTTAAATTCTTATGTAGTAAATTAGCTTACAACGAGCATATGATCAGTGAAAGTAAAGAGCTGTCTATCATATGATCTTTATATGGTAATGGTTAGGTTTTGACATTACATCACTTGCTCGTAAGAATGACTATTAAATTAGAACTCTTTGATGTTACATACAAATCTTGTTTAGAATAAAGGAATATTTTCAACATAGTAGTCAGTGCGTATGTAACATTCCAGACAGTGAAGATAAGCTCAGCTAAACTGGAAAATCAGATTGGATAAATGACTGTTTGTATGATATACATTGTGAAACAGTTTTATACTTGTCTAAGAAATATTCAAATTAAGATGTCTTTCGTCCTTTGGATTTAATACATATTATTTCGCCATCTTACTTGGTTTTTCGACAGTAATGGTAGAAAACAGTTCCTTTCGCCTGCGTACATTTTAATTTGCTTTTTTCTTTGTTTTGACCAAACTTTCAAGATCTTTCTTCGAAGGTATGCAATGTGGCATGGTCAAAACACAGTTCAGAGTTGGTGTCGACACATGGTTATTCATACAACCAGGTTATAATATGGAAATATCCATCTTTGCAGCCAGTTACGAAACTTACGGGACACCAGTACAGAGTTTTATATTTAGTATGTATTAGTGTAAAATAATATAATATGGGCTTGAGGAATAATTTCATTTTTTTTTGCAATTTCATCTGCCTTACTTTAAATTCAAGAACTGCACTTTTTTATGAAGATAATTTCTTTCGAATATACATGAACTTAGAATGAAAATGCTGTAAAGTCAGCACATTAAAATTGCTAACGCCATATTAACTAATAGCTAACGGTAACTGAAACTTTCTAAAATCAGCTTCAATGTCTTATTATTATAGGCAATGTCTCCAGATGGTGAATCCATTGTGACAGGTGCTGGTGATGAAACCCTGCGATTCTGGCACGTATTTAGCAAAATTGGACAACAGAAAGTTGTTCGTTCGAAGTTGAATCTGCTGTCGAGTATTCGTTGACTAGTTATTTATTTCAAGAGTTTTTCAGTCCCTTTCCCGTTCATTATATTTTTGAAGGCACTTTCTTTCTTTAGCGCAAGCTATTTATTTCTTATTCAAGCAAATTAATCTGGTTCGGGTTTAAATGTCAATGAACTCCATGTTCAGAGTCGTGATCCTTTTTGTCTTTCAGATTCTTTTTTCTTTCATACTTTTCATTTTAGAACAAATCCGTTTTAGAGGTGGTAGGCATTAATTATTTTTATTAGAGATATCTGGCTTGGTATTGCAATATTACAGTCATTTGTTAACCTTCTTCCAATCACTACTTGGTTGACGCTCCCTCAATTCATGTTCATTTCATTTTTATTTATGTACAGAGCTAATCAAATCATCGAGGAATTATAAAGTTGTTTACTAACTGAGTATTCTTCATTTATCGGATGAGAAAATTCATTCATTCACACAACGTATTTTCGTGTTTCTAGTCTATACGTAATATTTTTTGTTTAATCAGTATCACTAATTACAATATTCCACACGTTACTGAGCTTCTCAGGACTGCATATGTGATAATGTCCAATGCGCAGTTGTTTTTTATCTTGTTAACTATTTTTATGTTCGCAGATTTTATTTTCTAAACCATTTTCTACTTACCCTTAGTGTTGTACTTCTTAGTTCTGGGCACAACTCTGTTTTAGAAAACCTGGTTTTTAAAACTTGATATCTTTAGAATTCCCTATTCCTAATATAAGCGAAATTATTGATCGTGCCCGGGGCTCGAATGATAAGCCATATGTTCAGTCGTTACTGTTTCCCAATAATTGCTATCATAATGTATTTCTAATAATGTTTATTGTTTGGTTTTAGATAAAGCGGATCTTCTAACCATTTTCAAGCAAATTATTTTGAAATAAGTGAACTCAGTAGAAATTACTAAATGGCATACTGAGTATAAAATGATATACTAATGACATACTGAGGATATAATGACATACTGAGTATAAAATTTCCGCCGATGTTAATGAGTTTAGGTTAGATCTGTGTCAATTTCTCCGCCTTTTTCCTTTAATTTTAAATCTCGTTATTGTATTAAAATACATGATAGTAGCAAGTCTTCTTGTCAGGTAATATGCTTGGATCTGCTGCGTTCCTCTCGACTTAAAATTATCCTCGGTAGGATCATATTGCGGAAATGCTGAGTTGTTAATATCAGATCGCATAGCGAAGAAAGTTGTACCAGTTCACATGGTTATGCTCGGGCCACTGAACGACGAGCCATATGTTCAATTGTTATCGTTTTTCAGTAATTACTGTCAGCATGTATTTCTAGTGATGTTTATTGTCATATTGCGGAAATACCAAGTTATACTCCATCACCTGAGTAACATGCAATAGTGAATGAATGGTTGGAGGAGCAGGAGCCTTCTACCAAGCTGTCTTAAAAGGTGTGCCTCGCGACATTGAATGTTTTTAACTTATAACAGTTCAGTTGTCATTGCTTTTGATGGTTACTTTTGAATATAGTTTCCGAATTAAGCTGGATTTCTTGTGGAACGTTACCTAACATGGGACAGTAAACTTATAGGCAGCCAACGAATTTACTAATTGGATTTCAGAATAGCAATACAGACTTAAATATGCAGTATACTACAGTAAATCCGAAATTAGGTTCTACAGGTGTATGAATTCATATAATTTTTCAACTTTAATGTATTGCAATGTGTTTGGTTCTTTTAATTTATAAATTTTTAATTCATAAGATTCCATTAATTCATAGATTTGTTTGCATCGGAGAGCGACGAGCAATAAATGCTTGCTTGAATTGCGGATTTATGATTATAGCTGATGTTTTATCACAATTGGAATCTCGATTGCTTACTGGTCCAGTTTGAGTACCACCATCTATCGTTTTATTTGGTTCGTTCGTACATAACAAAAGTATGAGTTCCAATAGTAAAATGCAAAAGCAAAGAGCAGCAAAAATCTAGAAAGTACTAAATCTAAAAAAATATGCAATTCTTTCGTTTTTTAAAGAATGTGACGTTTGCAAAAGTTCGTGCAATTAAGTAATATTTTAATTTTAATATACGAATGATAACAAACCATTGCAGTCGTAAGCGATGGTGAGTTGTACAGAATAAAACAAGTCTCGCTGAACAAATTGTTGCATACTCTTACGCCAAGGGCAAAAAATATCATAGCTAATAAGGAAAGGAACATTGGTATCATCACGATCGCTATTTGCTGTAAAAGCAGTCGTCAGTTGGTTTTCCTGTACTTTTCTATCTTCACAATAAACTCAACAAATCTAATCGTAACTAATAATCTATTATTACTAATCTAAACAAATATATGCCGTCTTTGCCATGTTTTTAACCGATATGCTTATCAAATGATTGGAATCCATCTATCAAACTCTTGGGAAGAATGCAGAATTTTTCCTTTCACAGAGATAAATGAAGACTTATTTAAATAATTGATACTAATTAAAATTGATACTTTGTTAATTCTGTGTAATAGTCATGCTAATTGCAACAGGAAGAAAACTTTGTCAGACATTTGCTGAAAGTTTGAAGTAAAATTTACCATTGGATATAACAGGAATCTTTCATTGTTCGAGAATTTCAATATTTGAATAATGGTACAAACGAGAAGAAATGCAGCAAGAACAGCAGCAAAGAATCCGAGCGTTGGAAGAGTATAGTAGTACCACAGATCACTAATTAAACAGCATACCACAGAAATAGTTATACATGACTTGAAAACAGATACTTATCGATAAAATGAGGTAAAAAAAGTAATAAAATGCAAAATACTCTTGATTGATGAAATAATTTTCACTTATAATAACGGAAAAAATATCTCTTACCGTTGCCAAAATTCGGAAAACTAAGGAAATTTTGGGAGAATAATGGAGAGAAGTTTGCGCTTCCATGTTTGAGAGAAATGACAAAGATGGTTTTCCCGAAAAGTAAACGATCTTTTACGACCCGTTATGTTTTTCATGTTAAGCTTGTTTACCTGCTTACTCTCATGTTTGCTTTTAATATGCTACGCCAGTATCACCACCAATTCAATCGGGTAGGTATGTCGTCATCAAAATGTCACTAAACAGAAATCGTTCATATATTCACACTACCATCGCCCTTGTAACAGTCCGTATTGAATGTTTCATTATTAGCCAACAAATCATAATATTAACTGTATCTTTCATATTGGAAAGTTTAAATTCGCATATAAAATGTGTCACGGATTTGCTCTCATACAGCTAACTGTCTTATAGCATTTACTATTAGCAATGTGTTAATTATTGCATGTTCACTTTAGCATCAGCACCTGCTAAAGTTCGGCGCCAAAACCTTTAAAAGTCTCACACTAACAGCTTTTCAGTAAGTTAATCATTTTCTAAGATATTGCAATGTAATTACTACACACATAAGCACACACACACACACACACACACACACACACACATACAACGTCTATGTATTGTCGCTCTTCTAATTCTTGCAGTGATGAGTGATAGAAACGAATCACTGTTCGTTCCATCTAGAGTGAGGGAAGAGCGTGGACAAGATGTCAACTCCCATTCCTTCTGTTTTCTTCGTAATTTAGCTTTCCTTACATTCTGTAAACTTTTGGATTCTCAGACGACAATGGCACTAAACATAGACGCAGCATGCAGTCGTGTCATTCCTTTTTCCTATAATGTATTTACCGTTTCCACCAAATATTTTTAACTTTGAAAATTTTATTCACGTATTACTTATAATGTAAGTGACATATTCAAATATAGAAGCTTATTTTCGACGTTAACATCTTTTTCATTTTCAATTTTTCTTTTTGATTGACAGTGAGATCTATTATCGATTGCTGTGGTCATATTTTATTGATAGCAAGCTATCGTTAGATACCTTAAATATTCTTTCTTCCTTTTCCCCCAATAAACTCTTCTCATTTCCTAAAAGATCAAATAAAACATCTACAATCTGTGCAGCAGGAGACATATTTGTAATTAAGCATAGGCTTTAACCTTTAACCTGATTAATGCATAGACCGATCTTTAATCTTCTGTAAGCAAATGAATGAGTGAGCTTCTGTCACTGTTGTGTTTCACTACATTAATAACAGCGTAACCAGAAATTAGACATTACCATACAGGAATCTCACAAAGTAGCCTAGCCGAATTAACCATAAAAATGCTGCAAGAAACTATAAATGTGATTAAGACTGAAGGGCCTAGTTCTTGCTCAGTAAGATACAGCAGTGTTTAATGAACTCCGCTAAAATTTATGGATCCTCCCTGTCTATTGTCCTTCCTTTTCCCTTCGTCTTTTTTTGCCTTTTTATTGTCAAGAGAGAGAGAGGAGAGAGAGAGAGATAAATATAAATGAGCTTCTTGTCAACCGATTTTACTTATTGATTTGCTCTAAGTCTCAAAGCATATCTTCGGCTTAGTGCCATTGAAATAGCAATCCATCATTTAATTGCACTTTTTTCACATTTTCATTTAGAAATGGACGTCTGTTTCTGCGGATATCTTTTTCTTTCTTTACATGAACTTCTTTAAGAATGGATAGCTAAAAGAAAGGTACAAAAACAAGGTCATAAGAGGGTACAATAAGTGATGTCATAAATTGCAAGTAGATAGAGTCGTAAATGAAGTTACAAGTAGCTGATGATACGTTGCAACAGAAATAGTAAATAATTTAAGGAAAGAAGGTTTCTTACATGTACGGTTCATTTGCAAATAAAATGATAAAAAGCATGGCGTAAGTGACGTGGATTGAATATTGGATATGGATCAATTACCAGTTACTGATTCATTTCCATAAATCCATGTTTATCATCACATGGCATACGTCATTTCGTCCATAACTTCACGTGATATCTAACCGTAGAATAATATCAACAGTTCCAGCAATATTTATCAGCTTAGTTTAAATATAGTCTAGTATTATTTTGATTGATTGAGTTTATTACTTCGAATTTTCCTTATTTACATATATTGTGATGTAGCATAACCTTTGTGTATTAATGTGCTATGGTCATTGTACAGTCCAAACTGTTCCTCGATGAAGTATGCACCACGCACAGTCACGTGCACAGTGCACACCTGCATACAAAGAGAGGTTTAATATAATGTTTTTCTCATTTGGTTTCTATTGTTAGAGGAATGGTGTGTAACCTCTCTCTAACCAATTAGATACAAGCAAAATTAGAAAGATGTTAAACCTGTCTGTTCTGCATGTATGTGCGTGTATACGTACCTATGTACGCTTGTACACGTGTATGCATGTACTTATAAAGTATCCATGCATGCATACATTGTGATACTTCGGAAGAGTTAGGGATGTTAAAGGCAGCAGGCAGTTTGTTTTCTTTCTATGCATTTTGCACTTTCCCTTCTCAATAAGAGAACTGGCATTATTTTCAGAAGCAATGATGGAAGACAACATGTTGCCAGGTGCTCGAGGAAAAGTACCCAGAACATATGAAGTAGATAAAGAACGGCATTCCGAAAGCTATGTCGCTGCAGTTCGTGGAAATAATCACAAGGTTGAAGTTGTATTTTTTCTGTACTATCTAAACTGGGAAGTTCAGTTCCATAAATTCGTTTCCAAGTAGCAAAAAGTTGAGACGGAGTTTTGAAGGCTTATGAGTTTGATCAGTGAGACAGACCGCTAATCTTAGTTTGATTCTGTTTTTAATTTGATCTTTCCAAATAAAAAAAATTGCTTTATTAAGATCTCAAATAAAACATGATCTCGCATCCGAGTAATTTCACGTCATTTATCATCAGTAAGTAATGGTTGATCCATGTAATTTTGCAATAAGTAGATAGTAAATAAGGTGAGTATGGAGGTTTACAATTATGGGAAGTATCAAGTTTTATGTAAGAAAGTAAATGTAAATCAGAAGTTCATTGTAGCGTGGATAATGTCTTGCAGCGAATGTTTAGTTCAGTGGTGGGATATATTAGAGTTTTTGTGAACTGTCTATTATATTATTTCATATTTCTTTTACTAAAAAAAATTTAACGAACATATCATCTCTTCACACTAAATGGTGCAGGACGCACAAGCGATCTCTATGGATAAATCAAAAGATAGCTTCAAAATACGTGCCTCTGCACCTCTTCTTCAAGAATTTGCGATGTCGATACAATCAGGAGAGAACTTTAAGTATACTATTGTAGAGATGGAACGCTATAGAAACGATCCTTTTTGGAAAACTTTGAGGTTATATGATTATCTTTTTTAAAAACTTTGATTTTTCACTTCTTTTTGACTTGGAACTGTCTTGTGTTTTATTTTAATGTTGGATGAGCTCATTTCCGAAACCCACACCGCTTTTATGATTTTTTTTTTTAAAACATAAAATTGTGGTTACTTTATCTGACGTTTCCTTTTTGCTAGAGATATTCGTATTATTCAAATCTTTGATATTTGAGTGGTAAGATGACCGAACATTTGCTGCTATTGGAAATATTCTTAGAATTTATGATCCCTCTAAGCTTTATTCATTCATCGTTTCAGTAGGCTGTGTCAGTTGATTTGACTGGCAGAAAAGATATGATTGCTGGTATTGTAAATTCCTTTTATATCTTATGCAGATTGTTTCTGCCATGCATACAACATTCTCACAATCTTTGTGTAACTAATGGTTGAACAGTTGATGACTGACATTTTTTCCACCATTTTTTTAAAAATGCTGAGTTACTGTTTCTTTAACAACAGGAAAATGAAAACTCAGAAATTTGTCGCCATAAATCTAAATTTACCTCAGATGGTTGCTGTTCATCCTATTTTGGTTGTTATGGAGTTTTATGTTTGTGGTTGCCATTCTTATCGTCATCTTCAGCCCGGGCTGTACTCCCAGAGTAGTGCCGAATTGGTGGGAGAATGCCATTATTTATCAGGTAAAAAGTTTAAAACTTTTTTAAATCTCACTTCTAGCCGTAGTATGTTAAACCAAATAAAATGAAGCTTAAATCTTTAACAGTGTTTTACTTAATTGGAGGACTGAAGAAACTGGAGGTGGTCCTGATCTTTTTTAGCTGAGATTAATCTCGTCAAGTTAACTGTTTAAAGGTTTTGCTCTTAAGATTTGGACACCATCGTTCCAAGATTCGGATGCGAGTGGTGTTGGTGATTTCATTGGTCTTAGCAATCGTCTTGAAAATTTGCGGCGTCTAGGTGTGCAGGCTGTATGGCTTAATCCTTTTTTATATTCCGACGATTTTAATGATGCAGTTCAAGATCACTTAACGGTCGATCCAAAACTAGGTATAAATGACGACGCTTACAAGCTGGTCGATGCCGTACACGACAAAGGTCTGTATTGTTAAACTTATAACTCTATCTTATTATATATAGAATAGAAATATGTTTTGACTATATATGTAAAGTAAAGCAAATATGTGAAATTAGTCCTATTGTAGAAATGAAAATTGTGGTAAGCTTACCAGTGAGTATTACATCAAAAAACCACCTCTGGTATCGTCAAAGTTCGCAAGCAAGTTTGGAACAATACTCTAATTTTTCGGATTATTATCACTGGAGGAAAGCAGCTGAGGACAGTCCTTTCATGTCAAAACATAAGAATGCCTCCTACATGCATTACAAAAACCGACCCGACTGGCCTATTCTAAATTGGCAAAGTGCTTCTGTTCGAGACAATATGTTTGTATGTTTCACTATTATGCCTAAATTATACACATGTACACATATTATATACATGACAGAGTATTAATTACATCAGATATGAGGCTTAGGCCAAATTGTATTTTCTGTTAATAGTCGTGTGAAAGCTTTTTTTTTTACAGCTACTGTTTCATTTCTAATACATAGGCCTTAATCTCCCTTCAATTATATTTGAATCGGGTGCTATGCATTTAAGAATATTTTTCCAATTTATCTATTTGTAGAAAAT